TATGAAGGTGGATCAGTGTCCATAGTTTGACATATTTATAAGTGTTTAGTTACAGCTTTGAAAATTACGCTGTTTTCCTATACTTAGGATTTTCTACTGAGTCATTATTTTTCTATTAAATACAGAAAACGTTCCTTACAATTTGCGCAACTATTAAATACTTGGGGGAACTCCATATTACATCGTTATATATTTGAGCTTAAGAGAATAATACAATATCACTCATAAATTATGCACGGTTATAATTATTTAAAGTGTAAGTGCAAGAAGGAAAAGATTCAACATTGACTCATCTTTGGTGGATATTTACTTAAAATTATAACATATTATTAAACTTTATTCCATATAGCAAACGTAATATTGCAAAAGTTTGATTTTATCAAGCTAAACCTCATAGATATATGTATATGATCAAATGTATAGTTTTCAGGTATGCTATATTTATGGTTAAAAGTGCACAATAGGAGGGATAAAGCGCGTGAAAATATAAAAGTGGACACTGTGGTCAACACCGAGTGGCGACAGTGTCTACTTTGACCTCAGTGTCCACTTTCATATATATATATACGCATATATATATATATATACACACACACACACACATATATATATATATATACACACACACACACACACACATATATATATATATATATATATACACACACACACATATATATATATATATATATATATATATGATAAAATTATAGGTAATCCTATGTAATTTTCAAGAGTATATAGATCTGTTGGGTGCTCTATATCAAAAAAAAAAAAAGTAAAAAAATGAGCAAAAATAGACTGATTTTCGAATTTACACTTAAAATAAATGTATTCTCAATTGTCAATTCTATGATTTTTGTCTACACTCCGAATGTCAATTTAGCTCATCATGGATGTTAATACAACTGAGAAGAGACACCTTTTTCTTTTCCTTCCTTTCTACGCGATGATAACTTAATATCTTTCTTTCCCTCGAATCTCTATATGAAATCACTATTCTTTATTTTTATATCCAAGAGTAAATTTCTCCATCTTCATTTTGTTTACCTGAGGTAACGACGCAGAGTAACTAACGTGGGTAGGGAGGAGGGTAAAAAACTGTAAGATCATTTTTAGTCTGAAATTATCATGTATATTTTTTAATGGAGGGAGGAGCGTATTTTGCCGCTAAATTGAAAAAGAAGGAAATTATGTTGAAAAATAGATGGTTGCTGTTTAAAATTAATGCTTATTTTCCGAACTAAGCTGAATAATTTTATGCACCTACGTATATTAGCGAGTTTGGTGCACAGGAGTTAGCTTATCTCGCATTGTAGTGAGTTTGTTTTTTTTTCTGTGTAGCTTTTTACATTATGCCCGACTAAAAGATCGTTCGTATATAAATGTATTTTAGAGAAGATGTCTCATGAAGAAATTAATGTCTAATTGTATGAATGCATATCTTAAAAAATAATCTATCCTGGGTATAACGATAAACTACATCCGCGTCCGGTATAAGAAGATAAACTACATCCACGTCCTGGGTAAGACGATAAACTACATCTGCGTCCTGGGTAAGACGATAAACTACATCTGCGTCCTGGGTATGACGATAAACTACATCCGCGTCCTGGGTAAGACGATAAACTACAACTGCGTCCTGGATAAAAAGATAAACTACATCCGTGTCCTGGGTAAGACGATAAACTACATCTGCGTCCTGGATAAAAAGATAAACTACATCCGCGTCCTGGGTAAGAAGATAAACTACATCCACGTCCTGGATAAAAGATATTACCAGCAATAAAAATCATGTCGGCATTAAATAAAACATTGAGGTGTTAATATGCCGTAACACAAACCAAAGGAAATCAAAAAAATAATAATTACAATGCGCGATTGAAGAAATTTAGTCTTTTGCGCATTATAATCCTGTAGACTTTTATTCAATTTAAGAATAAATGAAGTAAACGACCAGAAAGTTTGCTGTTGTAAATTGGTCTATTCAAAAATCGGCTATTTCTTCAATTTCTGAATGAAATTGTTAAAGCCATATGAATTTATTCAGAAAGTCACGTTATCCGGTTTTACATGACTTAAAATTTTGTTCATCATCTCGAGGGAAGGAATGCATGAAATGTGATGTCAGATAATTGATAACCATTTCTGATAATGATATTTTTTAGGATGTTCCTGGGTCCATCCTTCAAATCTACAAATCAATAGTTCGTCCTTGCATTGAATACAGCTGCCATATATAGTCTGGTGCCCACGCTGTTCATCTCGAGGTCCTTGACAAAATCCAGAGACGGATATGCAATATGATAGGTCCTGATCCGTCATCTCGTCTGCAGTCACTTACTGACAGATGTGTTGTGGCTTCCCTCTGTCGTTTCAACAAATATTTTCCTGACAACTGCTCTGACGAGTTATTTTCCTTGGTACCCAAACTGCACGAATTTAACTTTTTTTTTTAGGTTGGAATCTCAGTCCCACCCTTTCACTGTTGAAACGGTTAGCAGTCTCTTCTATCCAAAGAGCTTATCTCGCACTTCGCGACAGTAGAACTCCCTTCCTCTTACTTGCTTTCCTGATAGCTATAATCTTCAAATATTCAAATGTAATGTCAATCGACATTTTCTGATGCCTTGATCTCGATCCCCGTCCTTCTCAGTACTCTTTCCTCAAACACCCCCACTTTACTCTTGCTCTCAATCCTCTGTAACCCCTTGCATGCTAGTGGCACTCCCGCCTTGCTTGGGATGATATGCTTAAAAAAATACCTCGTATAATTTGTTATATTACAATTTTTCTATGTGAAAATTTAACGAGAGTCCAATTTGCAAATTGCATTAGTAATGGTTGCGGGCTAATTCCTTTGTTATATTCCATGTTCCGGCTCTGTACGTGACTATAAATCTCTTTAATAATTTTTCCAAGAAATAGAATTCAAGATAAACCTTTCCCAAAAATAAACTACGATCTGGAATTGTAAATTGAAAGTAGTAATGGCACATAACCTGAATCCATTACAAAACTTCAAGATTCGAATTTAATAAATACCAACACTTCAACTACCCTATGTATCTTTCAGTTATAATAAATTTAGTATAGCAGATAAGGAAATTTAACATTTGTGCTGGGGATAGTTTCGCCCAACACCACCAATTGCTACATAACCAAAACATTAACCTAAAAACTCGAATCGTGCTTTTAATTAGCCCCGTTACATCGAGACTTTCATATGGATGTCATGCATGGTGTCAAACTATTTCAGAAATATCTAAACTGTCAGTTTTCTACAACCATTTTCTCAAGGGAATGATTAAAATGTCTTTTAGTAAATGAAGCCTGTAGGTTTTAAAAAAGCCAGAACCATCCATCTTCAATCTTCGTGAACTCGTGCGTCATAATTACTAATAACTGTACAAGATAAAAGAAACCATATTAACTGAGGACTTTTGACAATAGCACCAACTAAAATGGATCATATTTAACTTAAAGAGAAAATAATGACATAATGAAAATATTGATGTTCCGCTCTACTTTAAGCAAAAGATTGTGTAAAAAAATAAACTTCTCAACATCCAACCAATCATCAGTAAAAAGTCAAGTTCCAGAAAATAAAAGAGGAGGTGGTTCTAGTCAGACTCCGTATATGACACACATACATAACTCACCAACATCTACTAAAAAAGAAGGAACCGTCAAACACATTCTATTAAATTGCTGTAACTTCCAGCAAACCCGAATCAAACTCAACAACCGAGATAACTTAAAGTATCCATTTGAAAATATCAACCCAAGAAGCATTATAAATTTCATTAAAGATTTTAGTTTCTACAGGAAAATATTAAAAGAAAAAACACTGTTTACCAACTCTGCTTATCTACTTTGTTTTGTAACCTATTTTTGAAGGAAAAAATATTTCCAGTGATACATTTTTGAAGAAAAAATTATTTCCAGTAATACATTTTTGAAGGAAAAAATATTTCCAGTAATACATTTTTGAAGGAAAAATTATTTCCAGTGATACATTTTTGAAGTTAAAAATTATTTCCAGTGATACATTTTTGAAGTTAAAAATTATTTCCAGTGATACATTTTTGAAGTTAAAAATTATTTCCAGTAATACATTTTTGAAGAAAAAATTATTTCCAGTGATACATTTTTGAAGGAAAAATTATTTCTAGTAATACATTTTTGAAGGAAAAATTATTTCCAGTAATACATTTTTGAAGTTAAAAATTATTTCCAGTAATACATTTTTGAAGAAAAAATTATTTCCAGTGATACATTTTTGAAGGAAAAATTATTTCTAGTAATACATTTTTGAAGGAAAAATTATTTCCAGTAATACATTTTTGAAGTTAAAAATTATTTCCAGTAATACATTTTTGAAGGAAAAATTATTTCCAGTGATACATTTTTGAAGTTAAAAATTATTTCCATTAATACATTTTTGAAGGAAAAATTATTTCCAGTGATATATTTTTGAAGAAATTTATTACAGCAATATATTTGGCTCTCGACAAAATCGCTCTTTATAAAATGTCAATGAAAAGAGATCTACAAAATGATTTCTTATAAAGAAAACATATTCTATTCATATGAACATATCAGAAAAAAAATTTGTCGGCATGAAATAATATTTCGAGGTTGATATGCCGTTAAACAAAATAAACCAAATTAAGCAAGAGTTAGTAGAGATGAGAAAATTATTTTCCTGAAAAATTGTTTTAATTTCATTTTTATTTTTTTCTATATGTTTCACGAGATTGTAACGCTCTAAGTGAATAAACGGGTAATATTTTCTTATAAAAAAGGCTTATTATTACAATTACCACTGGTTATAAACCTTTGAGCAAAATAAAATCTTTTTTTGTGAAATCGAAAGCTTTTCAAACATTGGATAATTCCTCTCGATTAAGTTTATTTTATTTCTAGACGTTTATTTTATTGTAGTCCACGTGATGTTTCCCACTTTCTTCATTCGATGAGTTCATCTTCGTTTGCAGATCGTAAAAGTTTTCGGCAAAAACGATAAATCTATCTATCTATCTATCTATCTATCTATCTATCTATCTATCTATCTCTTCAGCACTTTTCATTCATCTATCTATCTATCTATCTATCTATCTATCTATCTGTCTCTTCAGCACTTTTCATCTATCTATCTATCTATCTATCTATCTATCTATCTATCTATCTATCTATCTATCTGTCTCTTCAGCACTTTTCATCTATCTATCTATCTATCTATCTATCTATCTATCTATCTATCTCAGTCTCTTCAGCGCTCTCTCTCTCTCTATCTATCTATCTATCTGATTCTTCATCTCTCTATTTATCTATCCATCAAAATTGTCCACTAAACACTGACATTCGAGGTGCGCTAAAAAGTGTCCGACCTTTAAAAAAAAGATCTGTCCCCGCTTTTCTTATAATTTCCTCTCGTGGTTCAAATCGCTTCCCCTTCAGCATGGTTTTCAGATTGGAGAACAGCCAGGAGTTACCCAGTGCCAAGTCGGGAGATTAGATCGCCTGTCGAACAAGTGGTGTATTGTGCTTGACCCGGAATGCTTGGATTATGTGGGCGGAATGGGCAGGCGAATTTCTCCGCATGCACTGATCCTCTTTTTGTGTTTCGTGAGCAATTTCCAGGATTGTTAAACGACAGCCTTCCACGTCTGTTCGCCCAACCTTCTTAATCGGCTCCCCGTTTCGGCATTAGGATGGCACGTGCTTCGCTCTCCACCGAGTTTCAGCCATATTTGAAGCGAGTGTACCACTACTTAATCTGAGCATTACTCATGGAATCATCGCCAAATGCCTACTGAATCTCCTGAAGCACCAAGCTTTTGGCAAAACTTGATGCAATATCTCTGCACGATGCGTTCGGCCATCTTGCGTGAAAACCAAAATTTGACGTCTGTACTCGGTGCGAAAACTTTCACGCATGCGCAGGAATTTACTTCCCATGCAAAGTAGTGAATTAGTTTTAGCGGGAAAAAAGGATTCCTGATACTTTATGAACGCACTACTGATAGGAGTTATGTTCGTTAGCAGCTTAGAACTCATTTCTTCGAACTTTTCTTGTTTCTTAATAATTTCCCTGTTTGTTGGAAGGTATCTTTAACTGTTTATTTCCTAAATTATAACTACAAATAATAAGTTCTATTAATATTTATTATTGGTGATCACAGTCTAAATACTATTGGATACGTGTTGGCGCCAGATACAGAGAAAGAACTATAGGAAGATATATATAAGATATGCGTGAGATCAACCAGTCGCGGAGAGAAGGTCTCGTGGAGTTAGGCATTAGCCATGCTGAAAGGAGGCAGGGAAAGTTCTCTATGGTGGGTAAACGTGAGCAGTTTTATTTTGGAGACATTAACATTTATTATTGAGACAGGAGTAAATAGTATTATCGTCTGCGTAGATACCTACTTGGGAACTGATGACACCAGGAAGATCAGAAACAGTCTATAACCCAGGATAGAGCCTTAGGGAACACCAGCGTTCGTTTATGACGACCTTAATATCACGATTTGACAGGAATGACTGCATTGTCAAATAATACCGTATCCCTGAAGTTTACGAAGAAGGCCAGTATAGCAAACCCTATCAAACGCCTTAGAGATATCTAGAACCACAGCTCGAGCTTCGTCGTTATTGTTAAGTGTTTCACAGGAAGTCTTAGACAAGATAAAGGAAAACGCGAAGAAAGGAGTAAGGTGCAATTGAAGAGATAAAAGCTAAAATTTTGCATATTGATTTCCGAAGCCTACAGCTTAGCATTACGCTTTTTAATAATTTAAATTTATGCTTGGATGGTTAATCACTCCGTGGTTAGTATGGCCATCAGCTCCGCTGGTTAGCTAATCCCTGTTTTAGACGTCTGCTTAGTCACATTTGTGCTTGTTTAACACTCACACCTGGAACTTTTCGTAGCGGACCTTAGTTTGAGTTTCTGGTAGAGACTACATGATCTAGTAGGTTAAACAGTTTGAACCTGTGCAATACACTCCAACCCCCAGCCACAATGACTTATGGTGTCGTGCCAGCAATAGTATCGGCGGCTTCCGAACTTTCTAATAGGGTCAACGGTCATCTGACACAACGGGATCGAGTGTGTTCCATAGCCGTGTATGCAGCCATTGCGGTGATAGGACGGTATCGTTGAGCAGAGGTTTCTTGAACTGATGGAATCAACGACTAGGTGTTCGTGATTAAGGTGAGCCTTCAAACTGGAGTACATCATCTGGGTTTTCACTTTTACTTGAAGGGAAATGGACTCATTCAGGTCAATTTACCTGTGATACTCTACACATGAATGAATGTCGCTTCTGCTTTCAACTCAGGTATGTGGAAGAGACTGATCCGGTTATCGTCTGCACATTTACTTCTAACTACACACGGTCAAGGTACTGCTAATGTAACTAATGATTCTCTCTCTCTCTCTCTCTCTCTCTCTCTATATATATATATATATATATATATATATATATATATATATAAGTGCGCAGGTATGCAGAAAATAGAAAAGAACACGTTGGGTGCATAATCCGGAGTTCCTTAGTATTTTTGTTTTTATTTTTAAGAAGACAGTGCTTCATATATAAGAAGAGCTTTATTATAATAATATTTTTTTGCTTAAAATATGATTCCTTCGCTACATAAGAGTTCCCATGTTTCAAAAACGACTCTCGTTTTTGAAACATGGGAACTCTTATGTAGCGAAGGAATCATATTTTAAACAAAAATATTATTATTATTATATATATATATATATATATATATATATATATATATATATTTCAAATTTTGCAATAAGGTGCTATACACTTGGATCAAAATTTTGAATAGACTGTTCGAAATTCATGTTTAGTTTTTCTTTTTGTTTAAGTACTTTCGATCGCCTAAGAGTACTTTTTAAATTTTGTAGTGTTACCTATCTTTGTTTGCGGCGCGGTTATGTAATTAATATAAGGTATATTTAGCCAGCAAGATAGAAAAATATTTATGAAAATTAAAAGTATGAAACGATCTAACGGGTGTCAAAGCAAAATTGTCCGAATAGTGGAACAGCATGTGATAATTCTATTTTCCAGGTTTTCAAATAAAACGTTTAACCATTTGTTGTAAGAATCATCGAAAAACACTTTGAGTTATTCAGCTAGAAAGAGAACAATTCGTTTTGTGTCCGCTTCATTATGTCTTTCCAACTGAGTAATGGTGACAGGGAAAAGATCATTCAGTCTTTCAATAATGGTACCAACATTCATACTCTGGCTTCCATCTTCAAAATACGTTCATGAACCACCAAGAGAACGGTGAATAAGTTTAAAAAAGAAGTAACAGTATAGAGGAAAACTAGATCAGGAGGTCAAAACAGGAAGAGAATTCATCATCTCAACTTAAAGCTAAGTATATTCTTATTGTTCAAAGTAGAGCCCAATAGTTTTAGAAAGCCCTAGGAGAATTTCAGTAAGATATTTTTAATCATTTCTAAGATACAACGGTTCAAAACAATTTAACAATTGGACGATTTTGCTGTTACATGATTTGGACAATTTTGCTGTTACACCCGGTATATTATAATCCTGTTTGTCCCTCTTTTCGTTACATAGTTTCTTAATTTGCACGACAGTTACGCCCTGCCAACACCTCATAATTAATGGACTCTTACGTTTTGACCGTGTAAAAAGGGAAATAACATATCAGAAACACTACTTGCTTTCAGTAGAAAAATGAAGGAAAGAAAGAAGGGAAAATAAAAGTGTTTAACGTCTCCTGGCAATACCTCATAAATCATAGAATGTTTCATTTTGATTGTGTGGGAAGACATATTAAAGACACTACTTGGTTTCAGTAAGAAAGAAAGGAGGTAATATAGAAGGGTTTAAAGTTAAATGTAAAAAGCCTCCAATTTCGAATCTTTTCATTTGTACACCCTTACTTCTTAAAATAACGACCAGTATTAATATATATGATTGTTAGTGCAATATTTTGTTAAAGTTGTTAAGCTCAAATATTTAACGATGCGATAGGGGAATTTCTATGGATACTTTAGAACTCGCCATATTCAGTCATTAAATGAAAAATTAAGATTCATCAGAAGATTAAAATCGGAAAATCGTGAAATTTTCACGGGTCTTTCTAGTGAAGATGAATTGTATTTGACTCATTGTCTGACGAGAGTGTCAGGTGACAAGTGGGTTCCTCTGGTTACGCCCATTTCGTTTTCTGTCCTTGTTTAAATATCTCAATGGAAAAACTATCTAGTGGTATTTTCCGCTCTTTGTGACCGACCGTGTTCAGGACAGCTATCCTTCTTTTTGCCTGAGATCCTCATTGCAGCCTCCGCATTTTCATGACACCTATACCCACGCCGTGCTTAGGCACTGTTCTTCTCTCTTCGCTGGACTCAGGTCTAACTAGCGTATAAACGTCGTAGATAAAAGTTTGCCAGCGCAATTTTGATTTCTTAACAATCTTTCTTAAAATATTAAGAGATCAAAATCTGCAAAATAAGAAAAAAAAAGAGATAGAGAGAAAGATTAAATAAATTAGGATTGAAAAGGAGAACGTAGAGACAGGAAGGAAAGAGCGAAAAGAGAGAGGAAAGAGAGAAAGGGAGAGAGAGGAAAGAGAGAGAGGAAAAAGAGAAAGGGAGAGAGTGGAAAGAGAGAGAAAAAAGAAAGAGAGAGAGTGGAAAGAGAGAGGGAAAAGAGAAAGGGGGAGAGTGGAAAGAGAGAGGGAAAAGAGAAAGGGAGAGAGTGGAAAGAGAGAGGAAAAAAGAAAGTGAGAGAGTGGAAAGAGAGAGGAAAAAAGAAAGGGAAAGAGTGGAAAGAGAGAGGGAAAAGAGAAAGGGAGAGAATGGAAAGAGAGAGGAAAAAAAGAAGGAGAGAGTGGAAAGAGAGAAAAAAAGAAAGGGAGAGAGTGGAAAGAGACAGGAAAAAGAGAAAGGGAGAGCGTGGAAAGAGAGAGGAAAAGAGAAATTGAGAGAGAGGAAAAAGAGAAAGGGAGAAAGAAGAAAAAGAAATAGAGGAAGAAAGTAAGTCTCAATCTGCTATATTTAAACCGAGATTAGGAAAATATAAAAAAATGAGAGAGAGAGAGAGAGAGAGAGAGAGAGTAATAGCACTTTTTAAATTGAAAATAAAATCCAATTTCTGAAGGATCATTTGAAATCAAAAGCTGTTGGATTTTGTCTCAAATTGCCAGACCGGCCCGAATAAGCTTCGTTTGGGCGAAAATGGATAACTAATCAGTTAACACCTCATCTATCAAATTCTAAATCCATTATGCAATCAATACCGTAAGGCTTTATTACATTTCATTCAGCTATTCGACGTTTCTAGCAGCTAGCAGAAGTGTTGGCTGATCAGTGTCACGGTTGTTGGCAAAACCAAATCTGTGAGGCAAGGTCGAATCTCTGCTGTTTAGGTTCTTCACAATATTTCAATTCATAGCGTGTGTCTCAGCCCAGATTATGGTAGAATAAATTTTGAACTAAATGTAATAGTTAACTGAAGTGTGCTCCCAGCTGCCGGAGTGGAGACGAGTAGGCTTCCAGATATCTCAGATGCGAGTGTAATGTCCACGTTTCGGATGAAAGTTCTTGTATACACACGCGCACGCAAGCGCACACTAGCCAACAGAAAGTGACAAAATCAAGTGATGAATAAAATGACTTGAATAAAAAGGTAAAAAAAAATTTATCTCTGGCCGTTTTTCTTATCAAAATGTAATTTGACAAAATGTCCCGTCGCTGGGATACCATGTTTGACGAGCGAATGGGTGACTAAGCACTTGAAAAAAAACAAGTGTCCTATAATTACTTTATACGCCCCAAAAGGTAGGAAATGAAAACCCACTTTTGTGACCACTATCCGTGCATGACGAATATGTTTCAATGACTCAGTTGAACACTGTCTGGTCTTAATAAGAATAGAATTATTAAAATGCAATTTATGCAGACGTGGTTCTGTTGCATAAAGAGTTCCTTCCCCTATTAAAACACTTCCTAAATATTTACCTTTTTGTACTCATTTGATTTTGACATCTCCGATTTGTAATTTGCATGTTGGGCCTGTCCCTTTTGCTAACAACCATACATTCTGTTTTCTTACAATTCATACCTAATACTTGCAGAACATATCAAAGGCATGAGAAACAGAGAGAAATAACTCGCTGTGTGAATGGATATGGTAAAACAAGGACAAAGAGTGATGGTAAAAAAATGAAAAGATACTTAGATCAACAATGGACAGGATGATGTGGTGAGCTATGAACGCTTCTATTCTGAAGCGGTATGGCATATGAAAGAAGGACACTCAATGGGTCATTGCTTTAAATATTTGTCAATTCCCACACCCCATACAGACATAACCAATTACACTTTCCAAAAAAGATGTTACAGACAGGTGACGTGAATAACGATGAAAGTCTGAAGAAAAGGAAAACTAAAAAGACACTTCTACTTAAAATCAGAAATTACTGGGACACACGAGGAAAGACGGCTTCGAAAAACTAATGCTCACATGGCGTATTAGGGAAGTAATGGCAGAAGAAAACAGTGATCAAGTTAATTAATGAGGAGACAACGAGGGATGTCAGCCAGATATTACTTACTTAACACCAGAAAGAGACAGTTGAGATTTCTGGGATACATAATGAGGAAAGAGGGCTTGAAAAGTCTGATACTCACAGGACAGACTGAAGGTAAAAGGGACAGTGGAAGACAACGCATAACATACTGAGATTGAGTAAATGGATGGTGGAACAGGGCTTAGGAGAAATAACAGAAAGACAAAGTTTATTAAGAGTTACAAGGTACACGAAGTTGTGGAGAGTCATGATCGCCTACGCCCTGAGGGGCCACAGCACATAAACAGTTATGACGACCGAATAACGTTGCTTATTTTACTGATTATGACGACGTGGGTACTTGCTGGTGAAAAGTTACTGATATGTAGTAAACTTGATATAATGCAACCAGAGCCGGCTAAAGGTACTGGCAACTCAGGCAGTAGCCGGGGCGCCATCAAGGCCGGGAATGCCATCAAGGCCGGGGCATCATCATGGCAGAGGGTGCCATCAAGTCCGGGGCATCATCAAGGCCGGGGATGCCATCAAGGCCGGGGATGCTATCAAGGCCAGGGGTGCCATCAAGGCCTGAGATGCCATCAAGGCCAGGGGTGCCATCACGGCTGGGGCATCATCAAGACCGGGGTTGCCATCCATGCCAGGGGTGCCATCAAGGCCGGGGATGCCATCAAGGCAAGGGTGCCATCAAGGCCGGGGATGCCATCAAGGCCGGAGATGCCATCAAGGCCAGGGGTGCCATCACGGCTGGGGCATCATCAAGGCCGGGGTTGCCATCAAGGCCAGGGGTGCCATCAAGGTCGGGGCATCATCAAGGCCGGGAGTGCCATCAAGTCCGGGGCATCATCAAGGCCGGGGATGCCATCAAGGCTAGGGGTGCCATCAAGGCCGGGGATGCCATCAAGGCCAGGGATGCCATCAAGGCCGGGGCATCATCAAGGCCGGGAGTGCCATCATGTCCGGTGCATCATCAAGGCCGGGGATGCCATCAAGGCCAGGGGTGCCATCACGGCTGGGGCATCATCAAGGCCGGGGTTGCCATCAAGGCCGGAGATGCCATCAAGGCCAGGGGTGCCATCACGGCTGGGGCATCATCAAGGCCGGGGTTGCCATCAAGGCCAGGGGTGCCATCAAGGCCTGGGCATCATCAAGGCCGGGAGTGCCATCAAGGCCGGGGATGCCATCAAGGCCGGGGATGCCATCAAGGCCAGGGGTGCCATCAAGGCCGGGGATGCCATCAAGGCCAGGGATGCCATCAAGGCCGGGGATGCCATCAAGGCCGGAGATGCCATCAAGGCCAGGGGTGCCATCACGGCTGGGGCATCATCAAGGCCGGGGTTGCCATCAAGGCCAGGGGCATCATCAAGGCTGGGGTTGCCATCAAGGCCAGGGGTGCCATCAAGGCCGGGGCATCATCAAGGCCGGGAGTGCCATCAAGTCCGGGACATCATCAAGGCCGAGGGTGCCATCATGCCGCGATGCCATGTGTTTGGAATCTTCCCATCAGAAAGGAAAAATGGGAAAACAATAAATGAAATAAAATAAAGAAAATATTAAAGTGGAGTAAAATCTTTAAGAATTTCATTATTAATTCTTTCTGTTATCAAACACCTGACCAGAAAATATTTTTCAGTTTTTCTCAGTATCTGTCCATATTTCTGAGATGAGGTATTATGTACATTATTTACATTATTCGGACTATTGTCCGCGTCTTTGTCGCCATATTTATTACAACGTTTCGGCCGTTGTACGCTCCAGCTTTCTTCAGGTGGTTGGAATGTCGAACTGAACCCTTTATTCCTCAAGGACAAATAGCACAGTGTATAAAGGCGTTAGTTAGATCCGTTTTCTCTTTGTGAAAAATTAAAAATAAAATATATAATTGTAAGGGTGCCTATGTTTAGCTTGTCTGGTGTGCCAGCAACTCCTGAGCCGGTCTTGAGTGCAAAACATGGTGAAAACTTCTAATGGAATCTTGAAACACCTCAATGTCGAAATCAGGAGGAATTACGAAACGAAATGCAAATTGTTACCTTTATACACTAAATAAAAATGCAGAGAGGGAGACAAAAGCATTATTTTAATGGAAGTATTGATATCAAACAATTTCCTGGTGAAATAATGACGGAAATCGTTCATAAAATGTGTCAAGTGATGGAAAAGATGCTATTCGTAGTAATTGCCAACGGCAGCCTAGTATGATGATCATCCACTGATTCATAGTATTGACCTGTTTTACTAAAAATAACTCGCCACTGAGCGATAGATGAGAACTTTGTTAACGAGTTAAGAGACTAAATTTAAAACCAGATGCGTTAATCCGGTATTTCCTGTTCTATAGAGAATGGGCGGCTCGTCATGAATTATACTCCCACAATAAAGAAAACAAGAAACATTATCCGAAAAAGGAAAATAAATAGAAAGGGTTTTGCGTGAAGGTGTAGGCTGTTTGCCGATGAGTGATATTCTGGTGAAATCGCTATTTATAGTTGAATAGGCTTGAATAAAAAAAAAAAACAAAAAACAAAAAAAACATTAGCAAGTGCTCCAAGAAATAGAACTCGAGAGAATCCTTTCCAAAATAGAAACTATGATCTGGAATTTGAATGAAAGCAGTGATGGCATAAAACATGAATCTATCATAAAAAATGAGCGCGTGGAAATATTAAATACTAAACACTTCAAATAGCTTGATGTCTGGATCAGTTATAACAAGTTTAGTATAGGAGATAAATAAATTGAATACAGGTTATGCTAGAATTACTTTTGTCCAACAAGATGCTACAAGAAAATGTTAATCTGAGAATCAGTGTCATTTTCTTAAATAGCATCGTCAGATCAAGACTTTTACGCGGATGGTATGCCAGCATCAAAATTGTTCAGAAATTTCTGAAATATCATCCATATATAATTTTTCTTAAATCGATGATTAAATCTGGTTTCAGTTCATTGATACTTTTATGTTTTAAAGATCATCTTTTATAGAGCTCTGTTGACTAGTGCTACAGAAACATATAAACCAAATCAGCTGAAGTCTTTCAAAAGCAACTAAAACAGGTAAATAGAAGAGGATAACTTTTCACAATAAAGAAAATGTTTAGAAGATACTTCGAAAGAGCCATAAAAGTTAGTGGAGCTGAAAACTCTGTGTTCCTGAAGAACTATTTAAGATATTTTATCTCGAAAGCTTTCAACAGGATTTGGCATACAGGTCTTCTCCACAAGCTGAAAAGTTACGTGTCTCCGGACAAAATGTTTTAAACTGATGCAGTCTTTCCTATCAAATCGTGAAATGAAGGTTATCCTAGATGGCCACTCATCTAGATCTTTTCGTACTAATGTTGATGTCCCCCAGGGCTCCATCCTTGGTCCTATTTAGTTTTTAACTTTCATTAATGACCTTCCCGATGGTAGCAGTTCTCAAATTGCTATCTACTCTGATGACACAACGATTTACTCCTGTCTCGATAGTAAGGCTGATCAGTTCGACGACGTCAAAATGGCAGTCAATGTCCAAAACGAGGCTGTTCTTAACTGGGACAAAAGATGGCTTGTTAATTTTAACGTCTCCAAAACTAAACATCTCTCCATTAATCATCTGAGAAACCCCTAACTCCCTTCCATCAGTTTGGCTGAAGCTAATCTCCAGTAAAGTGACTCGTTGCAACTGCACGGGCTAACGTTCTCTTTGACAATTCGAACCTAAGTTCCATGGTCAGAATGCTAACGTTTTTGTAGATTGTCATCCATTATACCATCCCCAAACCACGGCACTTATCAAATCGAAGAATATTTTTTTCATATTGTATTTATTTTATGAACAGGACTTCACTTCTAAAATGAAAAAAAAAATATTCTTCGATTCTGACAAGTGCCGTGACTTGGGGATGGTATAATGGATGACAATCTACAAAAATAGTTTTAAAAATGTCCCTATATTTTAAAAGCGGACCAATCAATGTAAATAGTTTCCAAGGTTGGTTAGAGTATGAAGACACAAAATTCGTGGATATTTTTGCAGAATGACATCAATGAATATGAAATTAAATAGTTTGATTTAATTAAATTAATTTAATGACAGAAAATCTACAGACATTCAAAATTAGATTGGAATTAAAAATAATTAAATGTAATTTAAAATTTTATGAATAGGACCCCACTTCTAAAATGAAAAAAAAAAAAACCAATATTTTTCGATTCTGACAAGTGTTGTGGTTTGGGAAAAGTATAATGGACGCCAATTTACAATTTTTTTTAAAAATCCCTATTTTAAGAGCAGACCAATCAATTTAAGTAGTTCTCAAGTTTGGTTAGAGTGTTAACACACAAAATTCGTATTTATTTGTGTGGTAGGCGATAATTTTCTCTAGATTAACAATTCCCAAGCCACGGCATTTTTCAAAATAAAAAAAAATATGTATTTTTTTTTTAATAATCTTCGAAGTGAAACTATATTTACGCCATTGATAACTGCCTGTTCGTGATGTTGTCTTTTTATCTCAAATTGTCGTAATATGATATATTGTGGGAAAAATTTAAATCTGCATGGCACTTTACTCCAATTGGCTCATTCGCTTGCTTAAACTCAACGTTGATTCTGATTCCGCAGAACTGGGTTGAGTGTGAAAAGTGTAGTTAACATTCTTTTTTCATTCGGTTTTTCCAGTTACGAGTCCTTTTTTAAAGCTGATCGTTTTGTGTCTGTTTTTTGTAACAGATTTAATGTTTAGTATAAAGCTTAAAAAAAATTTGCAGTGTGAGATAGGCAAGAAGTAAGCCATGTAGCAACATCAGCACGGCAAAGGGCACTCCTTTAAAGGCAAGGAAGGGAAAAAATAATTTAAGTCAAAGGAAAGCGATTGCTGTATGAGTCGTATGATTTTTGAATCAAGTACGGGCAACGCCGGGCTATGCTGCTCGTGAATAAATACAAAAGAAACTTTTTTTTAGAGTCAATGTTAATGTAAGTAATTGTTTAATGGTTGTAAGTCATCTGACTTGAATTGTTGTAAGAAAATTCAACAATATATGATTTTTGAATCAAGCACGGGCAACGCCGGGCCCTGCTGCTAGTTTATTACTAAAAACAAAAGTAAAGTTTGCAAGCTTCACGTTACTCTATCGCTATTTCCCATTCCTTGCAGTTCTTAGTAACAACCATAACCTCATGTTATGACAAAGTTTCGCTCAAATGACACGCTACCCACTCGTGTCCATTTTACGTTCGATACATCCTGTGAGTGTTAAATCAACCAAGCATCTCTTCTTCGTTATGTGTCCCAGAATTTTCCGCTAATATCTTCCTGAGTATAAGAGTCCTTTTTGTTTCCATATTTCTTACATGTCCTGTTCATGGTATTTTCAGCTGTTTTCTGTAGATCTATATCTCTGTCATCTCCGTTCTTCTCCTCATCTAGTTCGACCAGCATTCACTGCTATACAGAAAGATTGATAATAGGTACTTATATATATATATATATATATATATATATATATATTGAGTATTATTCTATATATATATATATATATATAGTGAGTATTATTCTATATATATATATATAATATTCTATATATATATATATATATATATATATGTTGAGTATTATTCTATATATATATATATATGTTGAGTATTATTCTATATATATATATATATATATGTTGAGTGTTATTCTATATATATATATATGTCCGTATTATTCTATATATATATATATGTTGAGTATTATTCTATATATATATATATATATATATTGAGTATTATTCTCTATATATATATATATTGAGTATTATTCTATATATATATATATATATATATTGAGTATTATTCTATATATATATATATTGAGTATTATTCTATATATATATATATTGAGTATTATTCTATATATATATATATATTGAGTATTATTCTATATATATATTGAGTATAATTCTATATATATATATATATATATATATATATATATGTGTGTGTGTGGAAACTTGACTAATGCATGGAATAATAATACAATACAAAATGTACTTAGAACAAAATGTACTGAAACAAGAAAGGTACACAATATTTACATATAGTCTTTTGTATATTCTTGGGAAGACTGTTCCTGGAGAATGTGTTGACTTAGTCGCAGTCGGGCAGAGTCTCTGGATTGAATCTCTTGATTCCTCCCCTGTCTTCCAGGTACCAACCATATTTATATGGTCGGTACTCCCTATGCAAATTAGGTGGATCCTACCACAATATATATATATATTATGTATTATTCTATATATATATATATATATATATATATATATATATATATATATATATTGAGCATTATTCTATATATATATATATATATATATATATATATATATATATATATAGGAACTCTGGCTGAGTAAATTCTACCTTGCTAACCGAACGCTCCTCTGTAGCCAAATC